ATTTTACGCTGGTTTTCTGTGAGAGCGTGATCCTTCCCCGATCGAGCCGACCCATTCGTGCTACAACCATAATATAGCTGCAGCATGGCTCTACCACGTAGAATAATACGTGGTAGAGCCACGCTGCAGCTACATTGTGGTTGTGCACGAATGGGCCGGCTCGACCGGGGTACGACAACGCTGTCACAGAATACCAGCGTAATGTAGCAGCGTAATGCTATTGTGTTTCGTATGGTGAATGTAGAGAATCGAAGACCCTTTTTTCTGGAAATGAGGCATACCATCTTAATCTTCAAGGGTGACAACGCATCTGCATTTTATTTATTAATTTAATCTTTCATGCACAAAGTTGTACATATGGCGGAATTAATGCCATAGGGCATTCTCTCCCAGTCAACCATTAGGCTAAACAGAGATATACAAACAAGAGGCGGTGCAGCAGAAATCAAAATAGAAAGCGCTAAAAAAATATTGTATATACATATAAATATACATATACACACACATACATAGTCATATATACTTAAATACACACAATATATACATATATAAATATATACATACACATAAATGCATACACAACATATATACACAATACATATAAATATTATCTATGTCAGAACAAATATGAAATATACATAATATGTGTATGAAAATAAGAAAATATTTTGATTCTTAATTGAGGATAAATGTAGATGTCTATGGACCACAACATCCACTTACGATTAGATGGACTGAGTGCTCGTTTGTCACCCTTATTCTATAAAAAAAAATTCCATAAAAAACATACTGGAGTAAGTTTTCATAAAACACTATAAATACAAGACGATACAAAATATTTATATTTTTTTCTGGAGGTACTATTTATCATTTGGGCATTCCTTTTTTCACCACGATGTTCGAGTTGGTACCTACACTATAGGTATTCTTATGTCGGAGTTTGGCGTTCGATGTTCGAGCACGCTTGTTTTCGCGACTTGTTTATTTTTTATTACGCAATGAAGAGATAACAAAAATGAAAAGGAACTGAAGGAATGAAATTTTTGTACAACCGACTTCAATATAAGTTATTAAGGGTAACTCAGAAACTACTGGTCACACCGAGAATGATCTCTGAATAATATATAAATAGGACCACATGAGAAGCACCAACTTTCAAATAAAAAAAAATTCCAAATCAGTTCTGGCGTCTTCGAGTAATCGGTAAACATACATTAAAAAATTCCGACGAATTGAGAACCTTGTTGGATATTAAGAAAAGTTAGAACTTATACATCATTCTATGGTGTATCAAATAAAAGCGCTTTGGAGACGTAATCATTTCACAATAATTTAAAATTTTACCGCTTCCCAAATTCTGTCGCAATTAAATCCGCATATGCTGCTAGGCCCTCATCCCACCTTTCTCAAGTATGTAGATATGAGATTTTTTTTTAATACCCAGAAGTATGCCCCCTAAACGAGTATGCGGCTCACCTGATGGTATGTGACTATCGCCACCCATGAACAACTGCAATGCCAGCCTCTTAGAAAGAAGTAAGCTCTTTTCTTGAAGGTCCCAAGTCGAATCGATCCAGAAAAATCGCCGGTGGTAAGCGATTAAACAGACAGGTCCACATTACAATTGCCTATGTGCGGTCTGCACTGTGTAAGACACGAACTTGACCAACCTAAATAATTTTTATAGGATTTGTTTTTATTTCTTTTATTGACTCTGGATTTTCGGAGGAGGGATATGTTCGGCAATGGACTTTTGATGATCATTAATGGATGAATAAATAAAAAAGCAGATGGTAGGTATCCCGTCACTTTTATATAGACATACCGTAACTGTATTATGGTTGTAACACGAATGAGGCGGTTCGGCGGATTCCGTTCTCACAGAAAACCAGTGTGAAATAGCAGATTAATGCTGCTGTGCTTCGTATGGTGAGTGTAGAGAACCAAGATACACTTTTTACTGGAAACGAGGCATTCCATCTTAGTCCTCACGGGTGACAACGCATCTGCATTTTGAATCTTAATCGAGGATAGATGTAGATATCTATGGGCCACAGCATCCACTTGCCATCAGGTGGAATGTGTGCTTTTTTGCAAAAAAAAAAAACAATGTTTAAATGATTTGTTCAATTCATTATTCTTCTACCATTTTATCTATAGATACAAATAAATACAATTGAAGTGTGTGTTTGTAATGTCAAAATTACAGTTTTTTACTAAATGCATATGAAAGTAAATACGGTAGGTACTTATAACTAAAATACAATTTTTAAAATTTTTGTCTGTCTGAATTTGTTCCGGCTAATCTCCGAAACGGCTGAACCGATTTTGACAGGACTGGTCAGTCAGTCACTGGTAGATAGCTGATTTCATAAGGAGTAACTTAGGCTACTTTTATTTTAGAAAAAGAATTAGAGTTCCGCGCAATAACATAAAAACCCTAACCCGCGGGCGAAGTCGCGGGGAACAGCTAGTATTAAAAATAATATATCAGTAATAATTTATTTTTAGCACTTCTCTCACTTTCGAGCTCTGTAGTCATCCTTCATCCACTTGATGGCATTCGATACGCCCTCTTCATTGAACATCATCTAAATGAAATATGAAACGCATCAGCTTTTTGTAATCCGCTTTCAATAATAAACCCATTATTATATCTCTCAAAAACACATACCTAAGTGTTTGTGAAAAACATTCATTACTACTTTATTTACTACCTGCACTGTCTTTAAATAATTATAGAACTATAAATATATAATATAGAGTAGGACACAGTTTTTGTTTGAAATGGCTTCTCTAGTACGTAGTACATATAACTCAATGTTTCGGACACTTAAAAACTTCAATATTTCAAATTTTGCTTTTTTACCATGCACCGACCTCGAATCGTGTACTAATAAATAATTCTAAGAATTAAGCTTATAATATAATATTTTTCATCATTCACGCGCCTATTCATAAATGAAAAGAAATTACAACCCCTACAAAAAGTTAAAAATTTACTTAAATTCATAAATATTTAGTCGTTCTTTTACACAAACAGTGACTATTTGAAAAAACACAACGATACCGTATGTGTAATAAATACTAGTTAATACTAGTAACTAACCACCTTACAAAGGATCTGTAAACTAAATTATAAATAATAATCTTACCCGTGTTCGAGAAAATAATTTATGTTGACATTTCCACTCACAAATATTTTTATTGGTCGACCACAATTGCCGCGTTCAGCCGATTGGTCTATTTAAATGTGGAACTAATGAGTGAGAGAAAGATTGGTTCAAGCGAGCTAGGTTATGTGTTAGTGGGAAAGAGATGGCTAGACACTTCTAGGTGCTTACCGATAAAGCGGCGTGTTAACAGCGGGCGCTCAGGAAGTTCGATGCGCGGGACGTGCAGCGGCTTACAAAACACGTGGTAACGAATTGGTATTGGTACATAAAAATGCACGAGTTAATAGAATGGAATTCTTCTATTAATTCTTAAGTGCAACTTTCTTGTTTTCTCTCAATAAGAATTATTTGTTAAATTACAAATTGAGTGGTTAATTAACTTATTTTGTATTTATTAAAAAAACGTTATCCTGGATGCGTTTTGTTTCAAACAACATCTAGTAAAGTTATTTGAACGCTATACAAATACTAGCTTCGAGCGAGATTCAAACTTGTGTTTGGTTACCATACGTAGGATTTTGGTAATGACATCGGCAGAAAAACTCTTGTCTAAGTTCTAATTCACTTGTTTACTTCTTTTTAATACCAATCTTTTGTAGTGTTTAGTATTTGGTTTGTGAGCCTACGGAATGGCGTCCGCCACTGCTGTATGTAGTGTGAAGTTTAAACCAATAGGAGCTATTTAGAATAAATAGCTCGATGGCAATTGACATGCAGCGAGGTTATGACACACAACAGGTAGCCATACAACTACCATAACGGATTGGTAAGGAATGGTAGCTAGCCGGCCATGATCCTAACAGCTATTACCAAATATAGTTTAAAAAGAGGTTCTCGACTGTTGGCTTAGCACTAGTATCTTGTACTTATTAAGTTTGCTGTGCCACCGGCAAGTGCAATGGATTATGTTTAACAGTGAACTCTTCAAAGGTTGAAATATGGTGATGATTTGTATCTATCGATAGTGACCTATTGGTTTCGTTTAATACATATTTTTCATTAATTCATTTAGCCTATCAAAAGTCCACTGCTAAAAATAAACCTCACCCACAGATTGCCTCATCCAGAAGATATTTGCCTTAACTGTCATACTTTGCAAGCGGGTTTTTTAACCGCAGTTTTTTTTTTAAATATTTATCTTCATAATCATTGATTTTCCTATATACTTCAAGCATGATGTACGTGATGTAGGTAAAAAAATCATATACGAGTATATTAAAAAGATTTGATTAAAGTAACATTTTTTTAGAAAACTGGATGGGCAATGTCAAATCTTTTAGACTAACACATAATAGGTAAATAAAATACCCAATCAAGAAATGTACTTAATTAAAATAGTATCGATGAAACGGCTCAGGTTGTAGTGTCACCACAATACAAAATAAAAGAAATAAAAACATCTTACAGAATCGTTGTCACTACAAAATAAACAATCATAATATAGAGAGTAGAGACTATATTAAATAAAGTGTTATAGAAAAAAATTAATTTTTATAATATTATAAAAATGCCAATTCGTAACAACGCTATAATTTCACTTGGGGCCGAAGCGATTAAATCGCATTTCACGTAAACATCTTCAAGAAAAATTCAACGATCCCCACTACGCGCACTTCGCGCGCTTTTTAAAAAACCAACGCCCCTTATAGCGCCGTCTCCTTTCCGCTCAAGATAATGGACCCTACTGAAATTTATTCCTATCTCACTCTAAAGCTTAAGGCATTAAAGCGGGCAATCCATCAGGCAAAGTTTATTCGTTCAGTGAACGCTTTGCGGTGAGACGGAGTTGGAACACGTCGAGTGAATGTGTACGCAATTTTAAATATGGAACCCAAAATAAAAAATTACAAAGACACACTTTCGTTACCGGAATGCGAAAAGACAAATTTGAATTTGACAACACCGTTTTCGATCAATGACATTTTAACGAGGGAAAATGAAACGAAATGTGACTACGAGAACTTCGCGAATTCGGGATTTAAAGTGAATTTTTTGGGAAAGCCCGCCAGTTTGAAAGAGGATAATTATCAGAGGAAGCAGGTTGTGGAGAGCAATATGAAGTATTATGATGACTGCAGCAGTGCGTATCGTGATTACGGCGATGATGGAGCTTTGGATATGACTAGAAAAAATAATTTTCCTGTCACAGAATTATCAGGTATTTTACCTATTTTTTACTTCCAAGAAATTTAGTTATGAAATAATATGACCTACTAAATATTTTTTAAATAAAAGTTTAGTAAAATGCCGATTAAAAGATTTGTTACTTGTTAAAAAATGTAAATATTCAGATGTTAATTTTACAGTAGATATAATTATTTATATTCCATTTATCTTTCTATGTGCCTATTCTATTATGAAAAATTATATTAAGGACTGTGTAACTCAGTGGCAAGCGCACTTACTGCTGCTATTTGAATTCCAGCCGTAGATATTTATTGCGATAAATATAATATTATGTTATGGTTTCTTTGTTTACAAGTGAGGTTTTCTCGCCCTGTGTCATTAAGTCATAAAGTCCATACACTCTAAAGCTCCAAACATTGACCTTAAAAATTGGCGCTAAAATATGCACCACGCTGTAGTGACATGAACCTATCCTCATATTGTACATGATTAGAGCCATGCTGCAGCTATATTATGGTTGTAGCATGAATGGGTCAGCTCAACCGGGGAGGAACAATCTTAAAGAACCAGCGTAAAATTGCAGCTCAATAAGTACAGTGCAGTGTTTCGTATAGTGAGTGTACCGGAGTCACCTTTAACAAGGCATTCCACCTTAGTTAGTTAATTACAGTAATTAAATGAGGCGTTACAGTAAGGAATTTCATTAATTAAAGATTAGATAATTAATTTAAATTGTCATTTTTGCATGCGGATCTAATTTTTTATAGAATTAACTGATGGTAGATGCCGTGGCCCATATACATCTACACTTATCCTCGATTGAGAATCAAAAGGCAGCTGTGTTGTCAAACCAGAAGATTAAGATGGAAAGCCTCATTTCCAGTAAAAAGGGGTCTCCGTTTCTCTACACTCACCATATGAAACACAGCAACATAAAACTGCTATTCTACGCTAGTATTCTGTGAGAGCGTGGTCCCACCCCAGTATATCCGACCCATTCGTGCTACAGTCGTAATATAGCTGCAGCGTGACTCTAACATGTTTAAAATATCCAAGAATAAGGATAAGAATAAATGTATATATTTACTTAAAACACGTTATACATATGTTACAGAGCGGAATATGTCCATGTGTTGCTTATTATAGATACCATAAACATTTTACCCGTCAAATACTTTTTATTGACATAAATGACGTTAATAATTATAGTTCTGAAATCAAATTACAATAAATACAATCAAAAATAGATGAAAAATAAAATAAATATAAAAAAAACGTATACAAATACACACATTTTTTCTATGTGTCTTATTAAGTGGCGAAGCTTGCGAAGTCACTTATTGATTTCACGATGTCTGTCCGTCTGTCCGTCTGTCCGTCTGTCCCACGATTATCTCGAGAACGGTTTTGAATTTTCAAATTCTGTTTTCAGCAATTGATTACTGATCACCCAGGCATCTGAACCTCCTATTTTGAAACTGATTGCTCAACGGCAACCGTTAGAAACCGCTACAAAGCCGATTGCTTCGCCACTTTGCTATGCTGTTAGCTTGCTAGGTTTATTAGATTTGGGATATCGTTTACAAATTTTCACTTCTTTCTAACTGACTTCTAAAAAAGAGGAGGTACTCAATTCTACTGTATTTTTTATGTGTGTTGTATTACCTCAGAACTTTTTCTAGATGTACCGATTTGATGATTATTTTTTTTAAATCTTAGTACCTAGTTATAAGCTGGTGTTGTCCCATATATATTCGACTTACTGCTTGACTTACTAGCACTGTGTAGAGAGAGATGTTGCATCTCTTTGCGTATTTTATCGCATCTGTCACGAGGAGTGCAGGAAGAAGATCTGACCAGTAGGTACTCAGTTTTTGAGTTATTTTCAACAATGAATATTTAATTGACTTCAACTACGTTGATAAAGTTCTCATTTTATTTATATTGAAGTCGGTTGTACAACATTTTTAACTTTAACACTTGTATCAATCAGAATTGTTTCTAAAAATCTACTAAGTAGTGTGTTTTAAATGCCTTATATATATATATATATCATTCTAACCTAATTACCAAACTACTAAAACTGCATACATCTGGTATGTGGTACTTAAAGACATCTGGTACTAAAATCGTAAATACGCATTCCAAATGTATTTATGATGTATGGTAATTCCTCTACGGGTACAAATGTCCCTATTACCATGCCCACGTTCAACAGTGGTCGAACCACGCTGCAGCTATATTATGGTTGTAGCACGAGTGAGTCGCTTCGACCGGGAATGAACCACGCTCTTACAGAATACCAGCGTGAAACAGCAGATTAATTCTGCTTTGTTTCGTATATTCAGTATAGAGAACCGGACACCTTTTTTACTGGAGACGAGCGATCCCATTTAGTCCTCAGGGGTGACGATACATCTGCATTTTAATTCTTCAACGAGGATTGATGTAGATGTCTATGTGCCACAGCATCCTTTTACTTTATAAAAAGTTGTGTTTTACTGGCTGATTAGCATTTAATTTTAAAAGTTACAATATTAAAAAAGTTAATCCATTCATGACAGTTTATGTAACACTGGTTTTTCCCGTTAGCCCTTTACAATACGACAAATCACGGCCTTCGCCACCCGCATTCATCGACTTTTAACCTATATGTGTAACATTGATATTTTGAGCATAAAACATTTTTTAATCAATTACCACCTCAGATTTTCATTCGCTATGTGATGGCTGCGTATAGGAATTCAACACCCAGTCTTATCCCGTGGGTGACGTAAGGGGCTTAGGTAAATGACCGAAAGATCTTGTGGCCTTCAATAGTTGGTGTTACGTAAAGTACGCAAACTGTCGATGGTAACATCTTATACCTACTTCGATTGCTAATCTAACAAGCGTTGCGATTTTTTTATAGGATAATGGTGACAAACGAGCATACAGTCCACCTGATGGTAAGTGGTTGCTGTGGCCCATAGACATCTACATCTATCCTCGATTACGAATCAAAATGCAGATGCGTCGTCACCCGTGAGGACTGAGATGGAATGCCTCGTTTCCAGTAAAAAGGGTCTCCGGTTCTCTACACTCACCATACGAAACACAGCAGCGTTAGGCTGCTATTTTACGCTTGTATTCTGTGAGAGCGTGGTCCTTTCCGGTTGAACCGCCCCATTCGTGCTACAACTATGCCACTAATATAGCTGCAGCATGACTCTACCTCGTACAAAATTACGATTTCGGTTCGAAGATATGATTATGAAGTTACGATCAAGCCACTAATACAAGAGAGGTCCATGGTAGGCAGTATACCGTTGGATATAAGGCATACCTTGTGTATTCTTTTTTTAAAACTGACAAAAGAACTCACAGTCCACCTGATGGTAAGTGGCTACAGCAGTACACATCTGGAGCCCACATCGAACAAAGAACGCTACAGGTGCGTTATAACCTCTGAGAAGTAACTTTTCAACTCAACTTCAATTTTCAATTATATTTAAGGTAGCCTTCGTTAACTGTGACATCAGGATGTCACACCTCAGCTCCCCCGTGACCGTGGGTTCTGTAAAGTGTACGACAAGTTGACAACGCATCTGCATTTTGATTTGTAATAGAGGATAGATGTAGATGTCTATGGGCCACAGCAACCACTTACCATCAGGTGGACTGTGTGCTCGTTTGTCATCCTTATCCTATAAAAAAAAAACGAAACGTCGTGAATTAAAAAATTTAAACGCGATAAAATCAGTAAAATTGGTTTAATTTCATGTTCTTAAATACTCGTATAAGAAATCACTATGGTGCGAAGATTATTTTCTGTAGAACTTTTTTAATCGAATCAATGTAGCTTCAACTCATATTAGATACATATCGAACATATCGCTTAATCTAATTCAAAGGTTCTTAATATTTTTAGCTGACGGTCCTAAATAAAGCTGCACTTGAATTACACGAACCAGTACGTAATTGTTCAAATGGCATACGTTACTAACACTACTGACAAATGGGTATTATTGTTAAGAATGTTATTATGAAGTGATCGTCATAATTACTGAACTTTATTGTTAATGGAGTTACTTGGGATGTATAAATATAAATTTATTTTTATCCGATTAAAAAAAAGGAGGAGGTATTTAATTCGACTGTGTTTTTTGTAACCTAGTTAAAAAAAACCATAGTACCTCTATATTCGATGCATATTTTTTTTAATATGTTCACCTATTTCTCGGACGGCTGAACCGTTTTCCGACTTTTATTAATAGCTTATTCTTCTGAGTGGTCCCAATGGGGCCAAATTAATGCCTTAAATTAAGCCGTCCCATATACTTTTTTTTTATAGAATTGGGTGACAAACGTGCACACAGTCCACCTGATGGTAAGTGGTTACTGTGATCCATAGACATCTACATCTATCCTCAATAAAGACTCAAGATGCAGATGCGTTGTCACCCGTGAGAACTAAGATGGAATGCCTCTTTGCCAGTAAAAAGGGTCTCCGGTTCTCTACACTCACCATACGAAACACAGCAGCATTAACTGCTATCTTACGCTGGTTTTCTGTGAGAGCGTGGTCCTTTCCCGGTTGAGCCGACACATTCGTGCTACAACTATACTACTAATATAGCTGCAGCATGGCTCTACCACTTACTTAAAATTGAAGAAAAAATTCCACCCGTAAAAATAGGAGAACTGGGGGTGAAGTTTTTTAACTTTGAACTTTTGATATTCTTTATTCTAAAATTTAATATTTAAATAAAGAACTGATAAAATTAAAACTTTTGTACAATCGACTTCAATATAAATAAAATGAGAACATCATCAACGTAGTCGAAGTCAATTAAATACTCATTATTAATGATAACTCAATAACTACGTGGTCAATCACACTTATATGAGACCACACGAGAAACACCAGCTTTCAAATAAAAAAAGAATCATCAAAATCGTTTCGCTTAGAAAAAATTTTGAGGTAGTACACTTAAAAAAATATATTCGAATTTAGAACCTCCTCCTTTTTTCAACCGACTTCACCAATTA